TATAATTTTGCAAAGGCAGTTTCAAAATCACCTCAATTTTTTTTTTCTCCCCACTACGTAATGCAGTGGACCTAGGAACTGGGGTTGTAATTACAAGTGCTGGAAGCAGAAATGATTTCTAAGCAAGAAACTGTCACTATGTTTTTAAACTTTGTTAGAATTCCTAAGGGCCTGATGAGGGGTTGGTTGTGCCTTCAACCCATCTAGAAAAGCTGGGATTCATAATAAATACAGGCTGAGAGCGGTGGTTCACACCTGTAATCCCAGCACTTTGGGAGGCTGAGGTGGGTGGATCACCTGAGGTCAGGAGTTTGAGACCAGCCTGGCCAACATGATGAAACTCCATCTCTACTAAAAAAAAAATACAAAAATTAGCCAGGTGTGGTGGCGGAAGCCTGTAGTCCCAGCTACTCATGAGGCTGAGATGGGACAATCGATTGAACCCGGGAGGCGGAGGTTGCAGTGAGCCAAGATGGCACCATTATACTCTAGTCTGGGTGACAGAGTGAGAATCTGTCTCCAGAAAAACAAACAAAACGGGCTTAATAGTTCAGAACCTGTGTGACCCTTCCTTCTATGGATGGGCATGGACTGAGCTGGAGGCACTCGCTAGACAGGTACTGCTGCCAGCGACATCAGTCAGCACAGTGGCCAAACCTAACCTCCCTTCCAAAAATGGAAAAACGGGTAAAATTAAATGACAAATGGAAAAAAGAAGAAATAATAGCCAAGAATAAATAAATGAAAAAATGGGCTATAAATTGAGGAAAATCCAGTATTATATTAATGATGCTGAAGAGACTCAGAGCAAGAGATGACACTGAATCTTAGCTCAGTGATCCCAGGCTGAAGCAGTGTGCCTGCCAAGACTGCTCCTGCTTTTGGAAGCTGACAAGATGAAAAAGAAGTGCAAAACTTGAGTGGCCTCTGCCTGGGAGATAGTCACACATATGATAGACTGAACTAATTACTATTATTATGAATTTTTTTTTAGGTGGTCTCGCTCTGCCACCAGGCTGGAGGGCAGTGGCGCATTCTCAGCTCACTGCGACTTCCGCCTCCCAGGTTCAAGTGATTCCCATGCCTCAGCCTCCCAAGTAGCTGGGACTACAGGCGTGCACCACCACCCCCAGCTTATTTTTGTATTTTTAGTAGACATGGGGTTTTACCATATTGGCCAAGATGGTCTCAATCTCTTGACCTCATGATCCACCCACCTCCCAAAGTGCTGGGATTATAGGTGTGAACCAGCACGCCCAGCCCGACTGAACTAATTATTAAAGATGGTGTATACAGCTAGTGCTCGACTTATGACCACGATTGGTTCCGACAGACCAGTTGTAACACGATTTGGTTGCAAGTTGAGTAGGCTATATGCACGCGGAGATGGTAGTGTTGCCGGAAGCTGGTCCGTACTGTCGTACGCCCAGCTGGGCAACATTTGTGCTACCAGACATGGAGCAGTCGTGGCTAGCAATTGTGGTCGTAAAGTGGAATGGTCGTAAGTTGCATAGGTCGTAAGTCGATCAATACCTGTATTTGTTTTGCTGTAAGGGACCCATGGTTGAAAACCAGGAGTGGCCTATGATGTAATGCTATATATTAGTTTCCATCCAGTTCCTCATTCCTAACTCCCATAGCCCCATTACAGTCTTTTGTTATGTTGGGTGAGTTAGGCCTCAGGAAACACAATCTTCCTTCTGCCCTCCTTTCACCTGCCGGGAGGCAGGACTCTAACCTTGCCCGATTTTCTGATTGTGGGTGTTCAGACCCTCCACAGAGAGAATCCTGCTCTATACCCTGGGGGGAGGAATGCTGAATCTTGAAACTTCTATAAAAACACTAGAGGGCCAGGCACAGTGCCTCACGCCTATAATCCCAGCACTTGAGAGGCCAAGGCAGGCAGCTCACTTGGGTGAAGGAGTTTGAGACCAGCCTGGCCAACATGGTGAAACTCCATCTCTACCAAAAATACAAAAATAAATAACTGGGTGTAGGTGGCTCATGCCTGTACTGCCAGCTACTCAGGAGGCTGAGGCACAAGAATTGCTTGAACCCGGGAGGTGGACATTGCAGTGAGCCAAGATCACACCACTGCACTCCAGCCTGGGTGACACAGCAAGCTCCTCTCAAAAAAACAAAACAAACCCAAGAGAAGTGAGTTCAGGGGGCTTCTGATAGCTGAACCCATGAAGATTCCTAGAAAGTGGTACACCCCGGGAGAGCATGAAAGCCCCTCGCCCCTTCCCCCATACCTTGCCCTACAAATCTCTTCATCTTTATCCTTTATAATAAACTGGTATACATACATAGAAAATAAACTACTTGGATACAATAAACATTCAATATTTGTTTAGTGAGGAGGGATATTAATCATATTATTCATAAGGGATGACTTCAGGTTTCTCCAAGAACACTCAGATTGAAGTAAGATAACTCAATTATGTTAAAACATTAACCTTTACTTATGGTGGTGTATTTTCTAATATAATATGTACATCAGAGTTCATTCTCTAAAAATGTTTAATTTTGTGCTTTTGAGTATATTAACAAAGTATATCTCTAAAAGTTAACAGAGATGAGTTGAGATTTGAGTGTTTCCTAGGGTTCAGAAAATGCTACCTCCTTTTTTCTTTTTTGTGACGGGGTCTCTTGCCCAGGCTGGAGTGCAGTGACATGATCCTGGCTCACTGGGGCCTCGACCTCCCAGGCTCAAGTGTTCTTCCAGCCTCAGCCTCCCGAGTAGATGGGACTACAGGTGCGTGCCATCATGCCCAGCTAATTTTTGTATTTTTAGTAGAGACAGGGTTTCACCATGTTAACCCAGCTGGTCTCGAACTCCTGGCCTCAAGTAATTTGCCCACCTCAGCTTCCCAAAGTGCTGGGATTACAGGCGTAAACCACTGCACTTCGCCTACCTCCTTTTTCTAAAGTCCATCATGATGTGTATGTATGCTAAACACCCAAATATGTGACCAAAGACTTTGTGAATAACCCTGCTCACCAAACAGCAATCTTAGAGATGGAGGATCAGCAACTGCACTTCTGACTGCAGCTGTCACTGGTGAAAATAAAATGAAGCAATGAGCAAAATAGCACAAATGTAAAAATAAACCATCAGTATGCTAATTGAACTGAAAGTCTTCCCAAAAAAGCCAAACATTTTAACATAACCTTTCCCACTCTTGATAGTTGTTAATGTTAGGGAGTGAAACCAAACATCAATTGAAAAGGCAGTTTTGCCGGGCTCACGGTGGCTCGCGCCTATAATCCCAGCACTTTTGGAGGCTGAGGTGGACAGATCACCTGAGGTCAGGAGTTCGAGACCAGCATGACCAATATGGTGAAATCCCGTCTCTATTAAAAATACAAAAATTGGCCAGGCATGGTGGTGAGCGCCTGTAGTCCCAGCTACTTGGGAAGCTGAGACAGGAGAATTGCTCTGGGGAGGCAGAGGTTGCAGTGAGCCGAGATCGTGTCACTGCACTCCAGCCTGGGTAACAGCAAGACATCGTCTCAAAAAAAAAAAAAGGAAAAGGCAGTTTTAATTAATTGGTTGCAGAAAATGAAAGTTTCCTTCATTGAAGAAAGTAAAAAACTCATTGTGGTAATTCAGAATTGGAAAATGTTTATTCCTGCAAATGATCTGTGAGCTTGTTCTGCATTCCCTTGAATCCCAGCATAGTCCCCAAATAGACAGGCTTGCCTCACCCCACAGAGGATATAACTCTGAAAAACTGAATGTGAAGAAATACTGAATATATCAAGTCATTCAAAATCCACAAGGGGGCCAGGCGCAGTGGCTCGTGCCTGTAATCCCAGCACTTTGGGAGGCTGAGGTGGGTGGATCACTTGAAGTCAGTTAAAGACCAGCCTGGCCAATGTGGTGAAACCCTGTCTCTACTAAAAATACAAAAATTAGCTGGGCATGGTGGCGCATGCCTGTAGTCCCGGCAGAATTGTTGAACCTGGGAGGCAGAGGTTGCAGGGAACTGAGATGGCGCCATTGCACTCCAGCCTGGGTGACAGAGCAAGACTCTGTCTCCAAAAAAAAAAATCCACAAGGGGAACTGGTTAATCAAAGAAACCATGTAGTTGATGGATTTCCAAGAATTCAAAGCCTTTTAATGATGTGAACACTTTCTCCCCATTTCTTTCTTACATTTTTACAAAAAATTTAGTTTTCTTAAAGTGGTATTTTGTTGGTTGTTATTATAGTGATGATACATATTAACACTTTGTATTGAAGTATCATAAAAATCACATGACATTATAAATTTTTGATAAGAAGCAGTAACATTATCCTCTTTTAACAATGAGAGTCTCCCAGGCATACTCTTCGGTGAGAAATTATTAATTTTGTATTTTCATTTTGACGATAATCTTTTATTTAAAAACAAAGCTTTTTCTTTGTTGTGATAATATACAGTAAGACTTAGTTTCTTGAGCTGAAATTAAATGAGATCAATAAACATTCTAGGAGGTCATGTTTAGTTTTTAGAAAGGATGGCATCCACATATATATGGATGAGAAATCTTGGAGCGTATGATCTGGGACTGAAACTGTGGAATACATATCCAGTGTCAAGCTCTGAGAGCAGAGGGAGTTTTCTCTGGAACCTGGAATGAGTGATGGAGAAATGTTTTTAAAAAAATAAACAAATAGGCCAGGCACAGTGGCTCACGTCTGTAATCCTAGCACTTTGGGAGGCCAAGGTGGGCAGATCGCTTGAGCTCAGGAGTTTGAGACTAGCCTGGGCAACATGGCGAAACCCCATCTCTCTATGAAACCCCGTCTCTACTAAAAATGCAAAACTTAGCTGGTTGTGGGGGCACATGCTTGTAATCCCAGCTACTAGAGAGGCTGAGGCACAAGAATCACTTAAACCCGGGAGGCAGATGTTGCAGTGAACTGGGACTGTGCCATTGCACTCTAGCCTGGGCAACAGAGCAAGACTGTGTCTCAAACAATTGTGGGAGGATTCCTAGATTTACTGCACTCCGGTTTAATGCTTGTGTAGTACTTAAACATAGATCTCATGACTTTTCAAGGGCTGACCCACCCATTTTCTGCCATATGCAGTCAGCCCTCAGGCCTCATCTGTACCGAAAGGGCTGTGGACAATGACTGCCTCAGCGGAAAAGAACTCGAGCCTCTGACATACGCCAGAGCCACCGTGAGCTGCCCCTGTTCCGGACCACCAAGCCCAGACTGGACAGCCCGCTTTCCCACCTGGCCTAGGCTGGCTCACTGCTGGATCTCTCCCCCGTCCTGCATTCCCACTGGTGCCTCTGAGACCCCAGTGTGGGGTCCGCACCTCATCTCCCCAACACGAGCAGGTATGGAAACACACTCTTAGCTTGGTTTCTGCTCTATTTTGGTATTTCTACTTTTGAACTTTGTTTAGTGTTCCCTTCTAAAATCTAACCACTGGATCCAACCCAGGGGTGTAGAGTATCCACTCCGAGTCTGCTATTTCCCCAAGTGTCCCCTCAGCAGGCAGCAGGCTCTGCCTTATCCTGGTGGGGCAGAGGTGCACCATCTTCTCCGGCTACAAGGCAGCAGAGTGGGTCTCCTGGAGGTTCTCCTCCAGCTTCAGCCCCAGGTTGTCGATCCCAATGCTGGTGACCGGAGGCACACTGCTTTCAGCTGGCTCGGCCGTGCGAGTCGGGGTGGAGCAGTACAGGATAAACCCCACCATGATGACGGTGAAGGATAGGATGTAGAGTCCTGAAAACTAGGACAAGAGAACAGGTAGTGAATTGTGCCCCTCACATACACCTCTTTGCTGCTGGCTTTTGTCAACTGTGCTTTGAGGATTACCTTCTCATAATCATCCCATCCCATCCCTCCCCTCCCTTCCCCCCTCCTTCCCCTCCCTCCTCTTCTCTTTTCCTTTCCTTTTTCCTTCCTCTTTCGCTTCCCTTTCTCTTCCCCCTTCCCTTCCCCCTTCCCTTTCCCTCCCCTTCCCTTCCCGACAGGATCTCACTCTGTGGCCCAGCCTGGAATGCAGTGGTACAACCTTGGCTCACTGCAGCCTCCACCTCCCAGGCTCCAGCAATCCTCCCACCTCAGCCTCCAGGTCAGCTTAGACCACAGGCGCTCATCACCACACCTGGCTAATTTTTGTGTTTTTTGTAGAGACAGGGTTTCTCCATGTTGCCCAGGCTGGTCGTGAACACTTGAGCTCAAGCACTCTGCCTGCATCAGGCTCCCAAAGTTCAGCGGATTACAGGTGTGAGCCACCATGCCTGGCCTCATGATCTTTTTCTGAAAGTTATCTAAGGAGACGGTAATGCACAAAACCCTCCCACATATGCAGGTGAATGCTGGGACTGCCAACAGCACCCGGCACACCAGCCACCTGGATCCTTGGATCTTCAGGAGAAATGGAACCTTTGCTTGTCTCTGTCATAATGCAGCTACACCCCACTCTGCATATAGTCCCACTTAGTGGAGAAAATGGTGGTCATCATGGATACCACAAGAGAGCCCCATTCAGACCCTAGACACAGTTTACAATATTGGTACGAAACAGAGGAACATAAAAGACTATGATGAAATGTGGAAGTACAGAAGTGGCATCTGCTCAACAGCCTCTCAATGTGTGTTATTCAATGAAATTCATTTGCTAAAATTTGATATATTATCTTGTCTCTGTAGGCAAGTATTACATAGTAAAATTTATGGTGGACTGAGCAGATTCAGAATTTTAGAGCGAGAAAGAGCCTAGATATCAGAAGAGTCCAAAGCCCAAAGGGGTGACTAGTGTAAGATCCAGTGAGGACAGTCATAGGGAACAGTCCTGCAAGAGGTTATCTCATACACTGTCTGCAGAAGCCCATTCTGACAGACATACCACAAGTATGGATGGAGTTTTTGGTAACCTTCCCCAACCTCCTTCCCTTCCCCTTCTTAAGACTGAAAACCACCACCCAGAGCAAAATGCAATGAGGACAGAAGACTAATTCATTGGGTGTATAAATATATATGGAAAAATGTCATACCCCAAAAGTCTAAATAAATTCTATTAAGAAATTTGTATATGTGCTCTTATTTAAGTTGGAAATCCATACAAAAGCTGAAGTATTAAGTGAGTATGTATTTTTAGCAACATGATAAGGCTCAGAAAGAGAATGGCTAAAGACTGACCAAGCATGGTATATTAAAAATTAGAGAAACTATATAGTGTAATTAACGTGTAATCAAATACCCAGGGCCTTTTTTCTTTCAGTTGGAAAAAGCAAACTCAACTTGTAATTAATCCTGCAAACATGACTTTAAATTAGGAATGGAGTAGCTAACATCATACTGAACAGGGAAAATATAAAAGCCTTACTTCTAAGAACTGGAACAAAACAAGAACGCCCTCTTTCACCACTCCTATTCAACTTAGTGCTGGAAGTCCTAGCCAGAGCAATCAGGCAAGAAAAAGAAATAAGAGGCATCCAAATTAGAAAAGAAGTTAAATTATCCCTCTTTGTACATGACATAAGCTTATATCCAGAGAAACCTAAAGACACCACAAAATAGCTCTTATATCTAATCAGTAAATTAGGTAAAGTTGTAGGATACAAAATCAACATGTAAAAATCAGTAGCCTTTCTATACACTAATAATGAAGTAATGAGATAGAAATCAAGAAGGCAATCCCATTCACAACAGCTACACAAAATAAAATAGGAATAAATTTAACCAAGGAGGTGAAAGACCTCTGTAAGGAAAGCTACAAAACCCTAATGAAATAAAGATGACACAAATGGAAAACCCATGCTCATGGATTAGAAGAATTAATCTCATTCAAAGGAACATACTATACCCAAAGCAATTTATAAATTCAATGCAATCCTTATCAAAGTATCAATGTTATTTTTCACGTAAATAGAAAACACAATCCTAAAATTCATATGGAACCACAAAAGGGCCCAAATAGTCAAAGCAATCCTAGGCAACCAAAACAGCATGGTATTTGTATAAAATGAAACTGAACTCCTATCTCTCATCATATAAAAACAAATCCATTCATGATGGGATTAAAGACTTAAATGTAAGACCCAAAACCAAAAAGCTACTAGAAGAAAACACTTGAGGACATTGGTCTAGACAAAGATTTTATGGCTAACATCTCAAAAGCACAGGTAACAAAAACAGACAAATGAAACTATATTAAACTAAAAAGTTTCTGCACAGCAAAGAAAATAATTAACAGTGAAGATATAACCTCTTGAGAGAAAATATTTACAAACTATTCATCCAACAAAGGGCTAATATCCAGAGTATACAGGTAACTCAAACAACTCAAGAGTCAAAAATAATCATTTAAAAAAGTGGGCAAAGGACATGAATAGACATTTGTCAAAAGAAGACATAAATGGCCAAGAGGTATATGAAAAAATGTTCAACATCACTAATCATCAGGAAAATGCAAATTAAAGCCACAATGAGATAACATCTTACCCCAGTTAGAGTAGCCATTATTAAAAAGTTAAAAAATAACATGCTGTCAAGGATGTGTAAAAAAGGAACTCTTAGGCCAGGTGCAGTGGCTCACGCCTGTAATCTTAGCACTCTGAGAGGCAGAGGCAGGTGGATCACCTGAGGTCAAGAGTTCGAGACCAGCCTGGCCAACATGGTGAAATCTCGTCTATACTAAAAATATAAAAACTAGACAGGCATGGTGGTGGGCACCTGTAATCCCAGCTACATAGGAGGCGCAGGCAGGAGAATCACTTGAACCCAGAAGGCAGAGGCTGCAGTGAGCTGAGATTGTGCCACTGTACTCCAGCCTGGGCAACAGAGCAAAACTCTGTCTCAAAAAAAGAAAAAAAGAAAAGGGAACTCTTAAACACTGCTGGTGGAAATATAAATTAGTAGAGTACAGCCACTATGGAAAACAGTATGGAGATTCTCAACAAACTAAAAATAGAACTACCACACAATCCAGCCATCCCGCTATTGGGTATTTATCCAAAGGAAAAGGGAGATTCCTGCACTCAGTTGTTTACTGCAGCACTATTCACAATAGCAAAGATACGGAATCAACATGAGTGGCCATCAGTGGACAAATGAATACAGAAAATATGGTATATAAACACAATGGAATACTATTGAGCCACCAAAAAAAAAAAAAATGAAATCCTATCATTTCCAGCAACATGGATGGAACTAGAAGTCATTATGTTAAATGAAATAAGCCAAGGCATAGAGAGACAAATAATGCATGTATACTCACATGTGGGAGCTTAAAATGTCCATTTTGTGGAGGTAGAGAATAGAATGACAGATACCAGAGTCTGAGGAAGATGTGTGGGTTGGGGGTGCGAGATAGAGGTTAGGTTTTGTTGTTGTTGTTTTGAGACAGGGTCTGGCTCTGTCACCCAGGCGGGAGTGCAGTAGCTCTATTTCGGCTCACTGCAACCTCTGTCTCACAGGCAGAGGATCCCAAGTGATCCTCCTACCTTGGCCTCCCAAGTAGCTGGGACTACAGGTGTGCACCATCATACGTGGCTGGTGTGCGTGTGTGTGTGTGTATTTTTTTTTTTTTTTTTTGTAAAGACAATGTTATGCATGTTGCCCAGGCTGGTCTCGAACTCCTAAGCTCAAGAAATCCTTGTGTCTTGGCCTCCTAAAGTGGTGGAATTACAGGCATAAGCCACCACACCCAGGCTAAGGAAGGTTGTTTAATGCATACAAACATATAGGTAGAAGGAAGGAATAAGTTCTAATGTTTGACAGCAGAGTAGGTTGACTATAGTTAACAATATTGTATGTTTCAAAACTCCTAGAAGGGAGGACTGGAAATGTTCCTGATACATAGAAATGCTAAATACTTGAGGTGATGGACATCTCAAACACCCTGACTTGTACACAGTCTATGCATGTAACAAAATGTCTCATATATCCCATAAATATGCATATTTAATCAATAAAAAATTAAGAATGGGGTATGCTATTTTATTCACACCAATAAACAGTTTTAAATTAGCTTAGGTTTCGTATTATGCCCAAGAAAATGTTCAAATAAGGAGAATGACAGATAAAAACAAGAAAACAGAATGGGCTAGGGAAGGAGGGAAAAGGAAGATAAAGAAGATGAGAAGGAAGGAAGGAGTGGAAGGAAAGAGAGAGAGATGGGGAGAGAAAAAAAAAGAAAGCAAGCTAGCTGGGCACAGTGGCAGGCATCTGCAGTCCCAGCTACTCAGGAGGCTAAGATGGGAGGATCGCTCAAGCCCAGGAGTTTGAGGCCAGCCTGGGCAACACAGTGAGACCCTGTTGCTAAAAAGAAAATTAAAAATTTCACTCCAGAGGAAGTTTGGAAAAGAAAAGAAAAAAAATTAAAAATTAAAAAAGCAAGATATACTCCCAAAGATAAATGAAAAAACTAATTTTATGAAATGAGTATTAAGTAGATTGCTGGTCACATCCAGCTGTGGGCTCCTCGGGTCACCAACAGCTTTAACGTGCTAATTTTTTACAGATGCTCAATTATTTCTCTACATCAAACCTTAAGAATTCCTTAAGGAATGCAATAGCCACAGCCCTCCCCAACAGGAAAATGTTTCCTGGATTCAATGAGAATGCGAAACCAATAATAATGTCGAGCTGAGCAGTCAACTATAATTTCCTACCACTGATTTTCATTCTTGGATCTAATATATAGCACAGGGCCCAACGCATAGCTGGTGTTTAATAAATGTTTGTTGAAAAAAAAAAAAATTGATTCAGAGAACATTAGGGGAAGTTAGAGCTATTTGGAGTACTCTAAACTTTTAAAGGTGGTATTATTTATTACTTTTTTTTTTTTTTAGACAGAGTCTTGCTCTGTCACCCAGGCTGGAGTGCAGCAGTGCTCTCTCCGCTGACTGTGACCTCTGCCTACTGGGTTCAAGCGATTCCCTTGTCTCAGCCTCCTGAGTAGCTGAGATTACAGGCATATGCTACCATACCTGGCTAATTTTTGTACTTTTAGTAGAGACAGGGTTTCACCATGTTGGCCAGACTAGTCTCAAACTCCTGACCTCAGGTGATCCACCCACCTCGACCTCCCAAAGTGCTGGGATTGCCACCACGTCCGGCCTGAAGTTGGTATTTTGAAAAGGTAGTCAAACTGTCCCATAAATATGTTCATTGTTACCTGTAAAAAAAACCTATATAACTTGTTCAAAACAGGTTATATTTTGTTTGGTGGCTTTTAAATGTTCAGAAGAAAAACTATCATGGCTCTCTTAAGAAGCCAGGTGATTAAATTGAGTCACTTTTATTAGCATGGAGAGACTAATAAAGAGATCGAGTGAGGTAAGTCTCCTGAATTAGAGGCCCTTACTTTTTTCTCTCGTAAAATTCTTTGTGTCTAGATCTATGCAGGAAGTTTCTTGTGGCTACTTTATTCAGCAAATATTTACTCAAGATCAATTTCAGAAGAGGCAGCGTGCTTAAGGTCTGACACATGCCATCAAGAGGACTCGGTAATAGCTGAAAAAATAAATAAAAGCAAAAAACAGGGGAAAAAAAAAAGGTCTGACAGATAAGTGTAAAAAATTCTGAACCTATTTTTCAACTGTCTGCTTCAAAAAATTACAGCTAAAGTTATTTTAGACAAAATTTTTTAAATTGGTAGTATATCAAGCTTGTAGATCTGTCTTTAAAAACCACTTCTTGGCCAGGCTCAGTGGCTCATGCCCTGTGGTCTCAGCACTTTGGGAGGCCAAGGCAGGTGGATCGCTTGAGCTCAGGAGCTGGAGACCAGCCTGGCCAACGTGGTGAAACCCTGTCTCTACTAAAAATACAAAAACTAGCCAGGTTTGGTGGTGGGCACCTGTAATCCCAGCTACTCACAAGAATTGCTTGAACTCAGAATTCAGAGGTTGCAGTGGGCTGTGATCACACCACTGCATACCAGCTTGGGCGACAGAGCAAGACTCTGTCGCAAAAGAAAAGAAAAGAAAAAAACTATTTGTAAAGTGCTAGGTGTCTTCATTATCCTCTGAGTTTTTTCTACCTCTGTAATTTACTATTTAGATTTCAGAAGACCTGCTGTTTGCTCCATAAGTCTTGAAATGACCTTTGACCAAAAACAGTAAAAATCTGATCTAAGAATGAACTATTAGATGTGCATGGACAAAGAAACACAAAAGAACTGCAAAGGAATTTGTCAACTGCATGCTCTGATTCTGAGAATAGTAGTTTAAAGTTAAGTGGCCGAAAAAATGACATAAAAGGGGATTTTTCATTTTAAAGTTAAAAACAGTTGAAGCTATAGCCAGCCACCAACTAGCCTGGAACTGCTATATGGAAACACCAGCACCCCTAGTGGTAGCCAGATGAAATGCAGCACAGAAAAACGAGGCTGACTGTAGTCCGTAACAATTTGGCTCTCAGAAAAAAATCTGGGTTCATCAGGATGACTTCTCTGATACACTTTGACTTTTTCTTAATGATATTTCCAATAAGCTATAAATACTCCTTCAGTCTTAGTTCAGGAACACTTTAACCAGCAAGTCTGAAAAGATAACAGCTAGTTCCTTCGCATGTAACCTTGCAAAGCAAAAGTTTATACTCTTTAAGCAGAAATTTCTGAGAACCCACTGAGCTTAATGTATCAGTAATTCAGCTAAGTATTGTAAGCTCATGGCCAATATCTGGGAATAGCATAAATAAGGATTTGTCTGGATATAAAATTTTACAAGGACAAAGAAATATAGCTGATTGCCCATACTGAAACTAAAATTATCAGGTAACAGCCAACATCCTATCTGCTCAAATGACTGTCAGGAAAATAGGAATCCTTTACTGAAAGCATGCTGAGAAAAGACAGATATCTTTTCTCTTTTTCTTTTTTCCTTTTTACTTTTTTTTTTTTTTTTTTTTTT